TAAAAGTTTTAATTTCTTTCATGAAAAAAAAATGAAAAAAACTACTGACCCCAAACTTTTGAATGGTAGGGTAATCATATAAGCTAAACACAAACTGACATGCTTCAAAAAAGAAGATAAATTTGTGATTGGAGAAATAATCAAATAATTATAAAATGTATAACATTGGTATATTAATAATATATGATTTTTTTTTATAAATGTAAAATAGTTTTAAATTATTTCTTGATCAAAGAGCAATGATCATTTATCCTTATGCACAACAATTCATATTTATTGTTACTAAAACACTTGCTGAGGAGACATATAAGCAGATAAATTACTGTTATATTATAATAATTTACAAATAATCATTATTTGACTGCATTTGTGACTCTCACTGTGGCTCCATCTCCTAGTAGACCCAAGAATAAACAAATACAGAAAACAGTTATTTTAAATTGTAATAATATTTCACAATATTACTGTTTTTACTGAGTTTTTGAACAAATAAATGCAGTCTTGATAGCATTAGAGACTTCTTTCAAAAACATTAAAAAACCTTACCAACCGCAAACATTTAAACGGTATTGTATATTTGCAGACAAAGTAAAATCGTGGAAAAAAATACATCAGGATTTACATAACCACTGCAGTATTTTATTGTAAGCAAAACACATGCAACAAAGTAAAATGAGATAATTTGTTTAGGGCTGACTTTTAAACCTCAGGCTAAGAACTGATGTGATTTTGGACCAGAGTTATCCAATGCCAAATTATAGGTGCCCTTTATAGATGTGTATCCATAATTCCTTTACTGTATTACTAAAATGGTCCCTAAACATGAACCGAAGAACAAGAAACTCATTAAACCCTGTAAAACCTTTATAAAAAATAATAACAAAACAGAGAATCTCACAAAATGCATACTGATGTGTATCAATACTGTTCAGTGAGCAATACAACATTTATTGATGATAATCATGTCAATTTTGAGACAAAGTTTGCAGGAATTGTGGGGGAAACCCAAACACAATAGTCTGGACTTCAGTGCTTCATATGGTACATAATCGTGAAGTCTAATAATGCATTTATAGCAGGTGCGGTCAAGTCTATTTCACAAAACATATATACATTTTCACAATGGCAACCATCAGCAAACTAGAGTGTGTTCTTTTGTGTCATAAACCTATGCAATTCAAATAACAGATGACATATGTTTGTATTTTCATATGGATTAGCATGATCATCTTCAAACAATTACAAAAAATATTAACTGGTGTTTCAGAATGTCTTGATAATGAGAGCTAAACAAAAGCAAAAAACAAGAAACATTGAATAAAGAGAGAAAAAGAATCTTCAAAGCCATTATTGAAGGCAAAGGCAATGAAATATCTGTCACATATTTCTGTTTCTTATACATACATAAGCTACGTTCAGTTTTTACATTTTTGGTTTTGATAGTGAATAGCGAATGAACATTCCCAAACATTTCCCCCCCAAAATCCATTAAAGAGGCGGAGCGTCTTCCTTTTTTGGCAATTGTTCAAGAAGATGTTTTTGGTAGAACACGTGTTAGGGAGCACAAATTAATAGGGGATAATATGATATTAGACACTGAGGTCATATTAGCGATCGACTGGCTTCATCCCAAGTCAGTGTTAGAAAGCCATTGAACTGGATTTTTGGGTGCGGGGCAAAGGGTCCATAAAGATTAAACGCTTGTATGGTGCTTTACCTGCATAAACACAGCTAAGAGTGACCGTCGAAATGTCCAAATCTTATTAGCTTAATGACTTCCCCATTTAAATGGATTCTGATTCAATGTACTGCAAAACAAACTTCATTACCCGGAGCCATGACAGACAGGGATATATTTTCAACAAAAATTAGTTAACTATTGGATTTTGCAAGATCTTTTTTTTTTCAATTAGGCAGAAGAGCTGCATCCGTCATGACAGTGGCATCAGCAATACCAATTGGCCAAAAGAAATAAGACATGAGCTTTCTGGCAGAGACACGCTTGTATGTTGCACATCTGAATTTCTGACGTCCTTACAAATGCTACAGACAACTGAGAAAAAAGCTCATTATGTTTGAACAGCTATGAGCATGATATTTCATATTCTTTTACAGCGTTTAAACAAGGGATTTTGGTTACCGGCAACACTCGGCTGTAATGTTAAAAGTACATTGCTTGTTTCTAAAACTGTACACTCACAGTTGGCTCTCATAATTGAAATTACAGGGAAAACAACAAGATGTTAGGTTCGAAACCCTCAAGGTTTTCGCGGGTGAACATAAGATAATAAGGAATACAAATGAAAAAAAAACTAATTTCGATTCTAAACAACAAAGAGCATTAGTGCTTGATCTTAAGGATTTGGGGTAGTAAAGGGCATCCGTCTGTATAAACTAAACAAATATATCGCTCTTTATGTCAAATTCCTTCACTTAAGGGAGAAAGGGAATAAGGGAGCGTTTGAAAGCAATCTGAAGTGAAAGCGGGGAGGAAATATCATTACAGAGCATAATGACTTGATGCTTCCGCCATTTCCGGAATCAGTTATATTTTCATCGACTCGCAGACAGTGTCCTCAAAAACAAACAGAGTGAGGAAATGACTCCAAATGAAATCTACAACAACAGAGTTGTTTGGACTGCTCTCTACGATAAACGTAAGCATGTTCCGTTATCTAAGGGACAGCTTTTGATGGCTTTTATGGGAAAAATATGATAATCAGCTTTGAAATGGTATGATTGACCTCCACATATTCTAGTTTTATCGGGCAAAGGAAATACTTGAATATAGCTGAACTGATATTGGAGAAACAGTAAACAAACAAAAACAAATAGTCAATATCACTATGAACAAACAAAAGCGGCAATAATAACTGACCGTACCGATAAGGAGAGCTTCCTCTCAAGCATTAAGTGGTAACATTTTTTTTTTTTTTTTTTTTAGAAAACAAGGACTGTTCTTTCATGTATTTTTTTTTCTTTTTGCTGAGAGGTAGAATGAAGCATTTAAATTGAAACACAACAACTGGTTGTTCCATCATTAACAATGGCCTCATAAGACTGAAACAGTCACAGGTTTTTGTTAGTCGCCCTGTGCCACATAAAATACACTGTGAAAACTGTACAAACACATCTTTTTTTTTCTGTTTTTTTTTTAATTCATAATTGTTTTCTAAAATCTTGTAAAGTATCCCAAATGTTCCACGGTAGTATGGCATGATTGTGTATGACCATGTAGGATGTTAATCCAAATCTGAGGAGGGTGGATCGCTGGATCTTTAGTCTGAAGATCCCCCGCACTGTGAGGATGGATGGTGCCGATCAGTTGGAGGTGTCAGAATGGACGCTCCCGGGTCCTTCCGTGGGTGAGGTCACTGAGGAGGGTGTCGGGGCATCTTGCCAGCCACCGTTCGCCTTTTGTGAGGAAAAAAGACAAATACAAAATTATAAAGTGCATATTTCAACACTCATCCGAATGGGAAATCTAAACGCGAGCAACCATGATGAATTCCCTCACTATAAACACACTTTTGCAAGAAGCGAGTTGCAAAGTGAGGCAGTAAAAAGGAATGACATTATGCTGCATATTACAAGTCATTTCCAGAACATGATTGTCAAAAGACAGATGATGGAGGAATCAATTATTGCAAATTATCACATTGGCTAAAGGAATGAAAGTATAATGGGCACCTAAAATGGAGGCCATTTCATGTCCGGGAGACAGGTTGCCTAAAGAGCATTTGGGGCATTAATAGCAATTTCCATGCCATCAGAAAAAGGACTAGAAATGGGCTTTGGCAGCCTCTTATTTTCCCAGCCTGTTATTTTAGATAGAGGCAGTCTGTAATCAAAAAAGAAAGAGCAGAGCGAGGAGAGAAAAAAACTTTTCAAATCTTCAGCTTTGGTGACACCCCATGTCTATTTCAAAGGCGTAATTACAGTGCATGGGCGAGAGGAAAGCTCCCCCACATAAATGCTTTATGTCTCAGGCCGTCATTATCCACAGCCGAAAAAACGGCGAATAACTTATCTGGGTGGAGAAGGAAAAACATCATGTTATTTAAGACAGTGAATTTGTTGGAAGATTGAGACACTTTCTCCGGCTACATTATCACAGCGTTATGATGCAAATGTTCGGGCTGCCGCTTTCTTCTTTGTTATTTATGGTTATAGGTGTTTAGGTATAAAACATTGTTGATTGAATTCTTGAAATTGTTATTTATGGTTACAGGTGTTCAGGTATAAAACATTGTTGATTGATTTCTTGAAATACAGTTGAAATCAAACAGAAGTTGAGATTTTTTAGATGTATTTATTCGAAATGACTGCAAGAATATGTCACTGAAAAATAATTTAATATAATAATTAAAAATGAAATATGTATATATCAAAATATATGTGAATAAAACAAAAATTCAGCTAAAGTATATCATGTTTAAATATTTACACTTAGATTTTTTTTACAATCACATAAATCCTATGTGAATAAAATGCATTTTTCAGCTAAAATGTCTTTTCAGATTTCATTTAACTCAGAAACATTTACATATATCTTTGAAAAAATAAAATAAAAAAAAGACTCTATATCTTTTCAGATCTTTATTTAGACTCTTATTTAATTCACAACAATTCAACTTATTTTTAGATTTTATTTAATTCAGACATATTTGTGACCCTGGAGCACAAAACCAGTCTTAAGTCGCTTGGGTATATTTTCTAGCAATAGCCAAAAATACATTGTATGGGTCAAAATTATCGATTTTTCGATTATGCCAAAAATCATTAGGATATTAAGTAAAGATCATGTTCCATAAAGATAGTTTGTTAATTTCTTACTGTAAATATATAAAAACTTAATTTTTGTAATTAGTAATATGCATTTCTAAGAACTTCATTTGGACAACTTTAAAGGTGATTTCTTTGCACCCTCGGATTCCAGATTTTCAAATAATCGTATCTCGGCCAAATATTGTCCTATCCTAACAATCCATACATCAAGATCAGTTGGAGGTATCAGAATGGACGCTCCCGGGTCCTTCCGTGGGTGAGGTCACTGAGGAGGGTGTCGGGGCATCTTGCCAGCCACCGTTCGCCTTTTGTGAGGAAAAAAGACAAATACAAAATTATAAAGTGCATATTTCAACACTCATCCGAATGGGAAATCTAAACGCGAGCAACCATGATGAATTCCCTCACTATAAACACACTTTTGCAAGAAGCGAGTTGCAAAGTGAGGCAGTAAAAAGGAATGACATTATGCTGCATATTACAAGTCATTTCCAGAACATGATTGTCAAAAGACAGATGATGGAGGAATCAATTATTGCAAATTATCACATTGGCTAAAGGAATGAAAGTATAATGGGCACCTAAAATGGAGGCCATTTCATGTCCGGGAGACAGGTTGCCTAAAGAGCATTTGGGGCATTAATAGCAATTTCCATGCCATCAGAAAAAGGACTAGAAATGGGCTTTGGCAGCCTCTTATTTTCCCAGCCTGTTATTTTAGATAGAGGCAGTCTGTAATCAAAAAAGAAAGAGCAGAGCGAGGAGAGAAAAAAACTTTTCAAATCTTCAGCTTTGGTGACACCCCATGTCTATTTCAAAGGCGTAATTACAGTGCATGGGCGAGAGGAAAGCTCCCCCACATAAATGCTTTATGTCTCAGGCCGTCATTATCCACAGCCGAAAAAACGGCGAATAACTTATCTGGGTGGAGAAGGAAAAACATCATGTTATTTAAGACAGTGAATTTGTTGGAAGATTGAGACACTTTCTCCGGCTACATTATCACAGCGTTATGATGCAAATGTTCGGGCTGCCGCTTTCTTCTTTGTTATTTATGGTTATAGGTGTTTAGGTATAAAACATTGTTGATTGAATTCTTGAAATTGTTATTTATGGTTACAGGTGTTCAGGTATAAAACATTGTTGATTGATTTCTTGAAATACAGTTGAAATCAAACAGAAGTTGAGATTTTTTAGATGTATTTATTCGAAATGACTGCAAGAATATGTCACTGAAAAATAATTTAATATAATAATTAAAAATGAAATATGTATATATCAAAATATATGTGAATAAAACAAAAATTCAGCTAAAGTATATCATGTTTAAATATTTACACTTAGATTTTTTTTACAATCACATAAATCCTATGTGAATAAAATGCATTTTTCAGCTAAAATGTCTTTTCAGATTTCATTTAATTCAGAAACATTTACATAAATCTTTGAAAAAATAAAATAAAAAAAAAACTCTATATCTTTTCAGATCTTTATTTAGACTCTTATTTAATTCACAACAATTCAACTTATTTTTAGATTTTATTTAATTCAGACATATTTGTGACCCTGGAGCACAAAACCAGTCTTAAGTCGCTTGGGTATATTTTCTAGCAATAGCCAAAAATACATTGTATGGGTCAAAATTATCGATTTTTCGATTATGCCAAAAATCATTAGGATATTAAGTAAAGATCATGTTCCATAAAGATAGTTTGTTAATTTCTTACTGTAAATATATAAAAACTTAATTTTTGTAATTAGTAATATGCATTTCTAAGAACTTCATTTGGACAACTTTAAAGGTGATTTCTTTGCACCCTCGGATTCCAGATTTTCAAATAATCGTATCTCGGCCAAATATTGTCCTATCCTAACAATCCATACATCAATGGAAAGCTTCATTGTATAAATTGATGTATAAATTACCCTTATGACTGGCTTTGTGGTCCAGGGTCACATTTACATTCAAAATCTGTGATTCTTTTTATAAAAAGTCTTCACAGAGTTTAATTCAGAAATTGACATTTAAAAATGTATGTGAATAAAATCAATTTTCAGATAACATGTCTATTCAGATATTTATTCGGAACTATTTACATTTAAAATGTATGTGAATTCAATATTTTTTCAGATAATACAGAAAATATTTTATTCTAATGACCTCAAAGATTTATTTACATCACTGTAAGACAAAAACATGCTCTCCATCAGCCATAGGTGGCACAGAAGCACTGGGCCACTTCCACAGGACACATTCGGCTCTGCATCAGAGCAGCTATTTAGAGAGACCGTGTTAGTGTGTTTGTCTTTTTTCCTTTTTTTCCCCTCCTCACACTTTGCTGGCTCCCTGTCAGTGCTGTTAAGGTGGCAGATGTGTGATATGACCAATGCACTTGGATTGCTGTCCCAAATCTCTACTCAGCCCTCCCTTGAGACTGTCTGATCAATTTCCTCTGCTGGCGACATGGCTTGTCGCTGTGGATTTTACATGCTGGCCTCTGCCGTTTGTGTTCCCGGTCTCCCTCTCCCTCTCTCTTAAACACTCCTCCCCCAGTACAAAACTGATGGTTGGAGCTGCTCGTCTGCTCTGGTTAACACAATTCTTTTAATGTGCGCTCAGAGCTGTGGTGGAGGACACCATCTCAGGCTCTGAATGAGTTTGATGGCCTGAATACACCTGTGTCTGGGCTTCTTTGATGTTGTTGGTGTTTATGTGGCTGAACACATGGTAACACTAACACTGATCAGCGGTCACATTTACAGTCGCCTTGGTGACTGTTGCTAGTGTGCATATTGCTGCTGGCACCACTAGATAGGGGTGAGTATAACCATATATATATATATATATATATATATACAGTATGTTTATACACACACACATATACGTTCAATTTAAATGTTTGGGGTCTGATTTTTTTTTTTTTGCATTAGGCTGAACACATGGTAACACTAACACTGATCAGCGGTCACATTTACAGTCGCCTTGGTGACTGTTGCTAGTGTGCATATTGCTGCTGGCACCACTAGATAGGGGTGAGTATAACCATATATATATATATATATATATATATACAGTATGTTTATACACACACACATATACGTTCAATTTAAATGTTTGGGGGTCTGATTTTTTTTTTTTGCATTAAACTGATCAGTAAAAGCTTTTACATTGTTAAAGATTTCTATCTGAAACAAATTTTCCACAAACATATTAAGCAGCACTGTTTTCAACACTGAAAATAATAAAAATTGTTTCTTGAGCACCAAATCAGTATATTAGAATGATTTCCCAAGTAAAAAAGTACTACATTTAAAATACATTTATTTCACACTAAGTATAGTTCATATCTACTAACATATTTACTGACATACACTTGAGACCTGCTGATATAAAAATTAGAATTAAACTTTATTTGGAACACTACCTGTGCACAAATCATATTTCTAAATATTAAACCTAAAATGTGTTTTAATCACTACTGATGAGGATTGTATGATTTTTTTTTAAATAATATTGGTCTTTAAATGCAATATATTTCTTATTCTTGCAATAGTTCCACTTTAGCATGATCAGATATACTTCAGTATATCTTTAGTTGGACTTCAGCACTACGTCTGCGCAATGAAAGTGCATTAAGCACAACATTAGTTGCTCCAGTTAAGCAGACTTTAAGTATATCAGTTTAGTATACCAAAAGTACAGTTGCAGGGTATTTTTATTAAGTACATAAATGCGTAAATGTGTTTGTAGTAGACTTAACATGAAATAAATGTATTTCAAATACATTTTAGTATATTTATTTTTCACTAGGTTTCTGAATAATCATGTGACACTGAAGACTGGAGTAATGGCTGGAATAAGAAATAAATTACATTTTAAAATATATTAAAATCAGTTTTTTTTAGTTGTAATTACATTCCATAATATTACTGCTTTACTGTATTTTTGATCAAATAAATGCAGCTTTGGTGAGAGAGAGACTACTTTCAAAAAACATTTAAAAAAATCTTACCAACCCCAAACCTTTAAATATCAAGCTAATGGCATTGGTCTTGAGAAACAGGTACAAGAGCAAAAGACAAAGAGTGAAGAGGCTAAGTTCGGACTCACATTGATGCCCTGTGGACTGTATATCTGACTGGCAGCGAGGCTTTCACTGTATCCGCCTGTCTGACTGATAACATGGCGAAGAGTATCCACCTGCAGACAGAAGAACACAACACAAACAAAAGACAGGGTCAGACAATACAGATACAAAACAAAGACGTTTGTGCTGAGAAAAGGTCACCCAGATATCAAAAGGATATTGGCAACCAAAAAAGGTCATCAAATGTTGAATGAAATGTTTGTGCTGCAGATATCAAACAAAGGACACAATTTGTTTCTGAACTGATATGAAAAAATAAATCAACATTTACAGTGTAATTATTGGAGTGAATTTAGAGAATTAAATGTCATTAAAAAACAAACAACAAATATACACATTATAATACAGTTATTTACAATAAAGCAGGATAATATATATAAACTGTAGTTCTGTCAAACGATTAATCGTGATTAATCGCATCCAAAATATAAGTTTTTGTTTACATAATATATGTGTGTGCTGTGTATATTTATTATGTATATTTAAATACACACACATGCATGTATATATTTAAGAAAAAGATGTTATATTTGTATATTACATATATTTATATATAACATAAATTATATAAATATAAATATATACATGTAAATATTTTCAAAATATATATACTGTATGAGTGTCTTTATATATACATAATAAATATACACAATACACACACATATATTATGTAAACAAAACTTTTATTTTGGATACATAATATATGTGTGTGCTGTGTATATTTATTATGTATATTTAAATACACACACATGCATGTATATATTTAAGAAAAATATGTTATATTTGTATATTACATATATTTATATACAACATAAATTATATAAATATAAATATATACATGTAAATATTTTCAAAATATATATACTGTATGAGTGTCTTTATATATACATAATAAATATACACAATACACACACATATATTATGTAAACAAAACTTTTATTTTGGATGCGATTAATCGCAATTAATCCTTTGACAGCACTAATAAAATTACATTTAAATATATGCATGCATACATATTAGATTACATGCATTTTATACGTTGCTATCCATTGCGCCACAGAGCCGATACATGCATTTTATAAAAGATTTTATATATTTTGTTACTCAGCACATTTGTAATACACTAAAAAAACTCATGTAATTCTTGCACCACATGAACTCATTTCAGAAGATTTCCTCTGGGATTCCAGCACTGAATATTCATGAAGCACCCCGAGCCTTTGGAGAAGTTACTTCGTTATGGGAGGAAAACATTCCGAACGTCAAAAGGGGACAAACCGAAGCACCCTGTGTTTGGATGCAAGCGTGCCGGGCAAGGTCAGGCTGCCACGGTGGCGGATGTGACAGCATGACAGATACGCAAACCCGCTGACAAGAGCTGTATTGTTTCCAAGATTGTCTTTGATGGTCTATTCATCTGGAAGTTGACAATGGCCACGGAGCAGTGTACAACTGCTGGAGGCAAACTGCAACCCCAGTCCGTCCTCAAGGTCAGGAGGCCCGTCATGTCAGCCGCGGCTGAACAGAAATGTACACGCGCCGGACACTATGATGAGCAGGCTGGCGCTGAGAGATGAACTTTGTTGTGACAAGGATATATTACAAGATGATGACTATTTGATCAGTTATGACAAAGACATGCCATTCAGTACTAACGGGGAACGTTCCTATGAAAATATGGGCAAACACAAGAACAAAATATTTAAAAGCTCAGTTAACAAAGTAACCCATAAAAGCAGCAGCACAATTCTAAGAATCCTTTTTTAGAAATTCAATAAATAGAGGCAGAAAAAATTATTGTAGTACTAATGGATCCAGGCCCACTTTGTGAACCGCAGCTACCCAGATGTGATTTTGTGAGCGGGGTAATCAGGACCGCCATTATGACAGCCCAATGTGTTATTAGGTTTAATTGAATGAAATTAGTTCTGGTCATCTGCCCTCTCTCCTACCTGTGACTGAATGTTGGCCCCCACTTGGGCCCCCTGGTATGAGTCCCCATTCAGAGACTGCACACTCATGAACAAGTCCCCGGAGTTCATGTTAAAAGAACCAGCAGAACCTAAGAGGAAGAGAGGCCGAGAGAAAGAGACAGAGAAAGACAGGAATAGATAAAGACGAGAAACAAGTCATGCAACAGTAAGATTGAAGTAAGGAGGGTTAGTAGTGCAGAGCTGGTACTGTATGTGAGGGTTATGTGTTGAAAACCACACAAGCTCGGTACTAAGTTCCAAATCCTAAATCCAAGGTTAGAATGAGCTGAGAGAATTTCTGTTTAATATAAATATATTTATAGTTCATTCATTCAATCCAAAAGTACCTAATATTTCTGTTTGCAAGGTATATTTATGCCTATTATAGGACTGCACTGTTAGTTTAGCAGCATGCCAATGCCAAAATCTATTGGAATCAATTTAGGACTAGGCGATATGGCCAGAAATATATTTTTTCAATATCATTTGATATCAATATTTATCACAAAATTAATTCCAAACCATTAATGGGGAAAGAAATGCATTCCACATGTTTATCAGAATGCAAATATCATGTGTTTGTTCACAAGTAAATTAAACTTTTAATTGAGGGCCCTATGAAAACTGTCAATCAATACATTTTAAAAGGTAACCAACTGAAAATATAGCAAATCATTTACAACAAAACATTGCATTTTTATTTTTTTGTCAAATAAAGTGCTGAACAACAAACGTTGTATACTGTGAAATAAAACATGGATGAAAAATATCTTGGTTGTATGATATTCCTTAAAAAAGATTATTATTATTACTTAGAGAAGTACATTTTACTGTAAACTAGTAATATATTAGTCATAATTTCTTCAAGTTAAACCAAACTTTTATTTGAGCAGATTGAGTTTCGACACACAACTGAACATCTAGATGTAGGATATAAATATGGAGAATAACTCAAAAGTTTATTATCGAAATTGTGAATTCATTTTTTTTTTCAATAAATATATATTGATTTATCACCCAGACCTAAATAAATTGTCCATTCTAGTCTCCAGTGCGCTTCACATGAGAAGCACTACACTTTTTTAATGCTACAGAGCATAATAAATCAGTTCCTTTTCAGGTTCCTTTTCAGTTAGAATACTGTCTATATAAAAAGTAGACAGCAAGGCAGTTCGATAGGTTTAGGAACAGCCCTGCTGACCTGCCTAAGGTTGTTTACTCTTCAAAGCTGTTTTTTTCTTCAGCCTGGACATGCTGGTCTTTAGCTGGTTGGCCAGTTCTCAAATCCCTCTAAAACCATCAAAACAGACCTGTCTGACCATCTTGTCAAGGCTGGATGGCTAGATAACTGCCCTAGGTAAGTTTAAGCTGTTTTGTTTCAGTAGGGAGAGTTATATTGTAGCTAAATGCCACAAATATACACATTAAGTCTTAAGATGCAGTAACATTTACTGTTTTTCAGCAAATTTTGAGTAGGTAAAACCTTGTCATTTCAATAGGAATTAATGTGTTCTTGAGGACGAAACATTTCGCTATGTAGATGTCGCATCGGGTTGGTCACACAGAAAGCTGCTTTGTTTGGAAGTGACTTCAATGTGAGCTATGCTTCATACATTGCTACACTATTGACAATGAACCTATTTGGTCCGCAAACTTTGTTTGTCAATAGTGTAGCAATGCATGAAGCATAGCTCACATAGAAGTCACTTCCAAACAAAGCAGCTACAATAGCTATTCGTTAATTTAATTAAGTGTTTCAGGAATAACAATGGGTGAAGAAGGACCAAAACAGACTTTTATTAATTCTACAGTGACATCTAAGATGGACAGTACAGTTACACTGCCACAGCCAAGTCATTCAGGATGTGCTAATTGAGTCACAGAAGGAATCAAAGAATGCTATTTGTCTTTTAATGGAGGAGAACTCCCTAGATGCTTAAGAGAGAGCAGGGCTTAAGTTAATTTCCGCTTTAAAAGTCGCAGGGCACTAATCAAATGTACACGGACCTCTAATCACTTCAAGGCTATATGACAAAAGGCTTGACCATTTCGTCATAATGACATCAAGGAGGTCAACCAGACAACAGCAACCAAGCCAGTTAATAGCTTAGGTGCGTTCACACCAGATAAAACAAAATATAATTTGAGCCAAACAACTATTTAAGTCAATATTAAATAAAAGCAGAGCATTGGTGAGTAAAAGCTGAATTATTGGTTGTGGAAAGAGAAAGTCTTATAAGAGCTATGCTGCAGGCCAAGCTACTGATGTAGATAAAGAAGAGGCAGATTTGGATGTCATAAAGAGAGGTATTATGGGAATGCTACAGTAAAAGGAGGACATTAAAGGCAGGCAATTGAATATTCAAAACATTATGATGGTGAAGTACTTATTTGCCAGTTGATGACATTAAATTGGCTGCTTCTGCGCCACTAGCACGGCTATATTCTAAAACTTACTAAAGACCAGTGAAAAACAAACACATCTGTTGTTTGTGTGTTGATTTATTGCAATGCTCACCGGCCGAATTTGGTGTGGAAGGCGAGTTGGCTTGGCTGCCGTGGGTGGAGACGTTGGTTGCGGTCGCGGCGGTTTTGGCGGCGTACATGTTGGCTTCTTCTTGGAATTTTCCAATATTTTTCTTGTATCTGATCCTCTTGTTTCCAAACCAGTTGGATACCTGAGAAGACAATAATTAACGAATAAATCAGAAAGAACATAAATTAATTTCTACCTCAAGGTTATTTGAGAGCTGTTTAGTGTCTTTGGACCACTAATTTCTAAGCATTCATATGTATTCTGCGTCACTGTATGGGGTAAAGGTTGGTGTGTCTCACCTGTGAGACTGTAATGGAGCATTTCTTTCCCAGCTCCTCCTTGGCCTCCTCGCTGGGGTACGGGTTGCTGAGGTGGGAGTAGAAGTATTCATTCAGGATCTCTGTGGCCTGCTTATTGAAGTTTCTTCTTTTTCGTCTAATGGAAAATGACAGAACAGAGAGAAAGAGAGAAAATGAGATTGAGAACGAGAGAGTGAGAAAGGGAAAAAGCAAAGCCAGGAGCTACGGTGTTCATGAAGTCCTTCACATTTGAACCTGCTGTGTAAATACAGTGGTTCCAAATAATGTTTGGACATTTCATTCACACTTAACAATTTATGAATATAACTGAATTCCATTAAAATATCAAACTAACTGGCACTCTTTTTAATCAAAACATTTCATAAAATCATTGTTGGATTTCGAACATATAATACATACCATTCAATCATTAAATGTTTTTTCTTTCTTTCGTTTATTCAGCAAGAACACATTAAATTGATCAAGTGACAATAAATAAATTTTTCTATTTCAAATAAATGCCATTTCATTGAATTTTCTATTTATCAAAGAACCCCCCCCCCCCCCCCCACACAAAAAAGTTGAATGTTTCCACAAAAATATTAAGCAGCACAGCTGTTTCAACATGGATAATAATGTTTCTTGAGAACCAAATCAGCATATAAGAATAATTTTTGAAGGATCATGTGACACTGAAGAATAATGGCTGAAGCTTTGTGACACCATAGGAATAAACTACTTTTTCAATATATTAAGATAGATGTTATTTTAAATGTTAATAATATTTCACAGTGTTACTGTTTTTGCTGTATTTTGATCAAATAAAAGTCTTTAACAGATTTCTTTCAAAAACATAAAACCTTACAGACCCCAAACATTTGAACCATAGTGTATATACTGTATTTGGAAACTTTACTAAAAAGTTCTTCATCTTGGTTCAATTTTTGGTGCATTTGGTGGTCTGATATTTTACTAATTTGTCTTTTTACTTAATGTTTACTATGAAATTAGACAGAGACATATTAGATGTAGTATTAGATACACATACTCTTATACAGACCTGGCATCTAGGAAGCGGGAGCGCAAGATCATGACCGCCTCGCAGGTGCTCTGTTTGAGCTGCATCTGGATGGAGCTGAACTTGCGATGGATGATGCCCACCATGCGCTCGATCTCTTTAGGGGAGATGGGCCGAGTGCGAGACTGCTCCCTCAGCAGGTTCATCACATGGGTGGTGAACTCATTACACGCCTGAACATGCACAGAGGGGCGACACATGCATCAATCTCTGTGCATGTAAACATAACTACAGGAGCTGCTCAAATATCCTATCCTGAGGATTTTTGGTGTGCTAGGCCTACAACATTTTGTTTCAAAACATTTGAGTTTACAGAGGTCAGATCTAGGAGTCTTTTCTGGAGACCAAACACTGTTCGCTCACCTGCTCATACTTCTCCAGTTCTGTATGGTAGATCTGACGGATCTGGGACAGCTTGGCCCGGTAGTCTGAGTGTTCAACCGAGTTATCGGACCCGCCGCCGCCTGCCGCAGCAGCTGCAGCCGCAGCTGCAGCCGAACCGCCTCCTTTCTCAGGTCCGGACACTCCCTCGGCTAGCAGCATGTTGTCCAATCGCATGAGTTGAGCGTCTGGTGGCTCCTCCTCCTGAGCTCCACGGATACTGAGTACTGTCAAGAAAGGAAGAGAGAATAAACACTTGAGTAATTTTGTAGGTTCGACTGGAAATCCTGAAAGTTTTCAGACATATTATGTTGTCTTTGACTATGTAGTAGGTCATTTCTGTTTAACTGCATACTCGGAATAATATTTCTAATATTAGTTAAGCTAAGAACTGCAATGTCTCAGTATGACACTTAAAAATGAGAAGCACGCACACGCACAGGCACACACACACACACACACACAATATATATATATATATATATATATATATATATATATAATTTATCATTTGAGTGACCTCCATAAAAGTCAAGTTAAAGTAAATATCTGTAATAAAATTAACATAATAACATCACATTGTCTCCTTATGAGATGTTACAGAGCTTGAGAAGTAATATATGGCCTTCATTTTAATTGCTCTCTTCTTTGTGATAAAAATGTGGAACTATACACTGATCTTGGCAGGGTATGAGATCAGAAAACCATCATTTCATTGATTTGCACAATAATTTACAATAAAGTATTATATCTACTCATTTTTAGTTCTTGATCTTGTGATATTTACCCACTAAAGAGTAAAAGCATAAAATTATTATTTAAAACATTAAAGGGGTCATATGATGCGATTTCCATTTTTCCTTTCACTTTGAAGTGTTACAAGCTCTTGGTGCATAAAGAAGATCTGTAAAGTTGCAAAGACTAAAGTCTCAAATCCAAAGAGATATTCTTTATAAAAGTTAAGAATCAGCCACACCTACCTAAAATGGCTCGTTATAACACGCCCCCACATATCTACATCACTATGTGGGAAGATTTGCATAACGCAGCCCAAATGTTCATGCAAAGAAAGAAGGCATAACTTTGTTGTAATACCATGTTGTGAATGCGCTGTGTGATTCGTTGTGAAAGCGAAACTACTTTGTTTGGTCTTCCAAAAGAGGACGATCTGCTTTGTCATGCCTGGAGCTGATCTGTGCTGGTTGCTGAGGAAATACTACAACTTCACGCTGTGGATCACCGGATCGGCTTTCACCGTGGACGAAGCGGAGTCCAGCCCGGGGTCGTCGCATGTGGTTGCTGCAAGCCTCCTTCGTCGAATCCGCTGCCTCTGCTCACTTAGCCCACCGGCCGTTCCTCACTTTATCCCCCGACCTCCACTCACTCAAGGCCGCGGTTGTGAAAGCGAAACTACTTTGTTTGGCCTTCCAAAAATGGACACGACTAGAAATCAGTGGTTAAGTTGTATTTACAATACTGTTCCAGAACAGTTTAACCCAAATATTCAGATGTGTGCTGCACATTTTATGGAGGACTGTTTCCTGATCCTGGTAGAGTAGACTACAATGCCGGCTGTTCTGACTCAAAGACTGTAAGTACGTTTTTTATATTTAAAGAGTTTTTATATTTTATATATTTAAAGCGAGTTTTTTGGGCAGTTTAGAGTAGGGCTTGTTGTTTGTTATTTCTCCAATCACAAATTCAGACATGGTTTTATGTTTACGTGGCGCGATGCAACGCAACGCTTAAAAAGACAGTACAAGTCATTATAATCCATAATGATGTCCCCACTGGATGCAACAAATGCCTCATTTATAATGGGTTTTCATGTTTTTGAATCATCGCTCCGGCCTGACAGGGCATCATCACAATATGGTGAGGGGCGTAACATTTCCGTCACACGCTTGAGGTATTCGGCCAATCACAACGCACCGGATAGCTGGCCAATTACAGCACACCTCACTTTTTCAGACCGATGAGCTTTGTAAAAATCGATGCGTTTCAGAAAGGCGGGGCGTAGAGGAGAAACAATAATGTACAGTATGTGGAAAATAATGTGTTTATTTAACCTTAAACCGCATAAACATTTCATTACACCAAATACACAAAATAATGTTCTTTTTAGCAGCATCATATGACCCCTTTAAACTAAACAATTACTAAGATATACTGTAGAAATGTCAGAGAAATGCTTGTTTTTTCCTTATCTGCTCTCTATCCACTGATTATTTTCATAGTCGTTCAACTGTCAGGTTCTCTGGAAAGCTTTCCTTTTTTCAACTTAAGTTAATATATAGATTAAGTTTATATTCCACGAAACTCCGCTCTTTGATTTTAGGACTGTACATATATATATATATATATATATCACTGTTTATATTGAATGTGTTACAGAGGTGCTTTAAAAATCTATCTTACTGCAAAGTTTAGCTCCGATGCTGCTCTGATATACTGTACATGTACTGTTCAAATTATTCCGAACACCCTGTTCACCTGATTTAAATGTAAAATAGGGTACAAATGATTTAGTAAAATGTGTTAAACAGAGCTAAGAGTACCACTCTCTTACTGGTAGCAGAAAGTATTATCAAATTAGCAGGAAACAAACATGCAAATTGTAGAGGATGTTTAAGATTCTGTGTGGGGTTGGTTATTACAACACTATGAAGGAAAAGAAGATTATATAAGGACTCTCAAAGGAGTTTTGTGTGTTTGTGCAGTGTTATTAGAACATTATAAACTGTTGTTTCTTCGTGTGCCACTAGATGTCTCTCCTTCTGTTCTGTTCAGTGAAGGCAGACTGACGGCAGACTGCACCCGCAGCAGCCATTCTACCAGTAGTAACAAAGAGCACACAAATCCAGATTTACCAAGAATTTGACAAACAAGCAGCCATACATTTCTGTAGAAGATCCACACCGATAACAGAAGAGATAAATGTTAATGCAAATAAAACCACTACTCACTGTATAAAGCAAAGATTTGTTTTGGTTACAATTACAGTGGATGTCAAGTAGTGACCAAACATATCAGTGTATTGCTTATTATAGTAAAAATGTTCAATAAAAATATTTACATTTCAAAAATCTGGGTTCAGTAAATATGTTATTTTAAAGAAATTAATATCTGTAAAGACATTTATAATATTTCACAATATTAATGTTTTTACTGTATTTTTGATCAAATAAATGTCGCTTGTTGGGAAAAAAACAAAATTATTACCAAGAGACCAATTACTATACCAATCTGTGTAAATACAGGTTGTAACACTCCAATCAAAAGATACAGGAAGAGCTTTCCTCCCATTTTAATAGTTAGAGTCATTTTATTCCGCTATTCCAACTATTTTGAGTTATATGATTAGTTATAGTTTTTTTTTATTATTTGCATTAAGCGTTATTTTTTCCATTTGTGTTCTCCAACCCAAACAGAAGAGACAGAAGAGCCCACCACCAGTTAAAAGCTGCTGATATAACTGTAACACATATGGCTTATTACATATGTAAACCTGCAAAAACAATCAATGTCTACCGCAGTAGACGCAATGCAAATGTTCCTGTGACATCATTCTGAAGATGACAGCAGAGGGTAAGGCAACCAGCATGCTGCAATCTGTTTCTACAACCCCGAACCCAATCAGTCCAGCCTCTTCCAGTCAGCTCACTCCCACTGCAAATGCCAGGGGCTGTCAGAGGCCTCTAGAGGTCAAGAGTTCAGGGCATGGGTTGAGGGACACCGGTGAGGTCAGATTTCTCTAGAGACTCCCAGCAGTACAGCGAACATCCTGCTTTTTTAGCGCGTCCTTTGGTGCACGTGTGCAAAGTGTGTTTCGCAAAGTGATTTTCGTACCGCCGTCACCCTAAACTCCTCGCTTCTACTCTTTGACGATGACTTCAAGCCTTGCTCTGTTTTCAAAAAAGACTGTCCAATTTCAGGCTCGTCTCAACTGTCTGCCCACACAACTATTTCACAGCGAATAAAAAACACAAGTGTATATCAATAGCACAACACAAGAGAAAAAGAGCGAGTTATGTATGCCTTTATAATAGAAAGAGACAGCAACAGTGGAACGTGACTGGTGTACAGCATCGACTAAAGAAACCCAGGCTCAGAAGTGCGCAACGTTCATCTGGAGAGGAAATCTAATGAGGCAAATAATGATTTATTCATTCCAACCATATCCTCCAGTGCACAATTAAATGCATGAAATATATTAAATAAATACAATGAATGCGGATAATCATACAATTCACTTTGCTGTTGCTTAATTACCCCAAACCGACGCAATGCACTTTATTTATTTTGATTCAGTAATGGCATGGCAATCGATTAGGCTGTAATGCTGCCGGCCCTGTGTGTGTGTGTGTGTGTGAGAGAGAGAGAGAGTGGTCCATGCCCAATGAGCTGCTGATGTGAACTGAGCTGAACTCAACCACCCGCAGACAAACATTAACAGTTTTCTGAGGAGCAGATCATTCTCTCTTTCTGTCTTTCTTTGGTTTCTTCCTTCTGTCTCTGTCTGTAGGGGAAGATGGGGTAAGACGACCTCTTTAAAAACAATGTGTTTTGACTGATATAGTAATATTTCCCTGTAAATTGTAACATTTTAGTTTAACGTGTAAAATAATAATGTATCATCATCCATCATATCATTAGGTGGAAAATAGATAAACATTTGCTATTATAGTTGTTGCAGCCCCATTACTGGCATAAAATGACCCGCAAATGTAATTAAAATTGGTCTTTGAGTGTGTAAAATACTAAATTAAATATTATATTTAATAAATAATTTCTAAAATCATCGTATGCCTCTTATTTTGTAGTTAATTTGGATGAACAATTACAAAAAAGAAAAAAAGGATGTCACAGTAATAAATAACATATGTGACCCTGGACCACAAAAGCAGTCATAAGGGTCAATATTTTGAAAATGAGATTTATACATAATCTGAAACATGAATAAATAATCCTTCCATTGATGTATGGTTTGTTAGGATAGGACAATATTTGGCTGAGATACAACTATTTGAAAATCTGGAATCTGAGGGTGCGAAATAACATATGTGACCCTGGACCACAAAAGCAGTCATAAGGGTCAATATTTTGAATAATATTACATAATCTGAAACATGAATAAATAATCCTTCCATTGATGTATGGTTTGTTAGGATAGGACAATATTTGGCTGAGATACAACTATTTGAAAATCTGGAATCTGAGGGTGCGG